CAATACCCCTGGTTCTCTCCAACACAGAGAGGGACCAAACATGTCCAGATGTAAGTGAAAACAAAAAAGAAAAAAACCTCTTTACCAAGAAGAATGCTAACCAACAAAACTGATAAAACTGGGTTAAGCTAACCAGAAAATTCCCAAGCTCCCTCCCACCTGATCAAAACAGGATGGCAGCCGGCCTCCCCCCACCATTGAAACCTGGCAGAGTAGTTTGGAGGGTCAGTGCTGGAGTGAGGCTGCAGTGCTGGCACTGGCAGTTGGAGCAGGGCTGCGACTGGAGGGACCCACAGGACACCCCCCAGATCCAGCAATGAGACCTGGTCGCTGCAGTTCTGCTACGCTGGTGGTTGTAGCCCACTGAGGTGGTGGCGGAGGTCTGGGAGGTAAAAGTCCTGTGGAGTGAGGGAAGGAGACCCACAGTCTGCTGAGTAAAGTCTGAGTGTGGTCTCTGATTGGGCTCAGGGTAGGTGGGAATGCCTCTGGTACCTCCCCAGGGCAGGGAGTTCTGCACTGGGTGATTAACACCAGATCACAGGACATTTCAAGAGTCTTTGACACCTTCTAAGATGTTACAGCTGCCAGTTATGTCAGCACAGGTGGATCCATTATGGCCATCAAGAAGATGAGTTTCTTCAGGCCATGTGTGTGAATTGTCCTGCTACCTCCCCAGGGGAGTTATCACAGGTGAGTCATTGGTGTAAGGACAAAGAGACAAGACCCAGCTCGTAGCCTCAGGTGGCAGCTGTGCCCTCCACACTTGGATTGTCTGAGTCATCAGCATTCCAGACTTTTCACACTTGTGGATACATTCTTCTCCCAGGGTAATAAAGTACAGCCCTAAGTCCCTCCCCACAGTCTACATTAGTCTGCATATTTGGTGAAAATGGAGGAGAGGGGAGGGAGGGGAGGGGAGGGAGGGAGGAGGGAGGGGAGGGGAGGGGAGGGGAGGGGAGGGGAGGGGAGGGGAGGGGAGGGGAGGAGGAAAAGAAAAGGTGGATACCAGAGCCTTTGTGTAACCCAGGACGATGAGGCAAAGTGGATTATGTCAACGCTACTTCTGTAGGGAACCATATGAACTGTAACAGGACCGTTTTTCTTAAAACAAAACATCTCTTTTCATCACTTCTTCAGCCAAACAAGAAACGATGTTCTCATGAGAACTTCTTGCTGCAGTTTTTAGATAAAGGCAAGGGTGGCTGCAGCTCCTCTGTCAGCAGGAGCTGAGTTTGTCCTGTGGCCGAGGGGTTTGTGCAGCACAGCACAGGCCTGGGCCTGCCCTGGGGACTGTTCTGTGCAAAGGCTTCACCTGGAGCTGGAAGGGCACTGGCACTTGGGGAGCTGTAATCCCAAACATTATAGCTACCCAGAATTTGAAGGCAAAATTGGAACTCAAACTGCAAATGCTCAGTGGACAACACAAAAAGAAGTATCAGAAATAAGGAAGATTTCACCTCCGAACCGAAGGGCTTTAGATCTGATCTTGGCCTTACAAGAGGAGTCGGTACTATAATAAACAGTAGTCACTGTGTATACATAGATCAGTCTCAGAAAGTAGTGACTAATTTGGACAATCCGGGAACAAGTTAGAGTCTTACATGATGTGCAAAAGGACGGCATTTCCTGGGGATTTCAGGAGTTGTTGGAAAAGACCATTTTGGTGTCCAGACCCCTCTCAGTGGGTCAAATGAATTATAGTGACTGTGATGACAGTGATTGTTGTCTTTTATGAATTTATGTGAATTGTTGTACTAATGTTTGTAACCCAAAATATTATAAGGCTTATAAGTGAGACTTGCTGAAAATTTCAACAAGTCTCAAAGGGGGGAAATGTTGGGAAAATCTTTAATTGCAACGAACAGTGTGTAGTGTGGCTGGGTTTTGGTGGGGGGAGGGCTACAGAGATGGCTTCTGTCAGAAGCTGCCAGAAGCTTCCCCTGTCCCATGGAGCCAATGCCACTGGCTCCAGGATGGAATTCCTGCCGCTGGCCAAGGCTGGGCCAGTCAGGAGTGACAGTAACGCCTCTGGGATAACATATTTAAGAACAGAAGGTTGTTGTGCAGAAGGAATTCCAGCCAGGGAAGAGCAGAGTGAGAACATGGGAACAGCAATGCAGACCCCAAGGGCAGTGCAGAAGGAGGGGCAGGAGGTGCTCCAGGTG